TTTGTGCCGTGCAGCCACAAGAAGCTGCAAAATACTTGCATGGACTGCAAGGGCAGATAATGCAGCGGCAACACATTGCCAAACGGTTGCGAACATGCACTTCCTATACAGACAAGCCGAATTGCAGTTGGCTGCCAATGTTTAAGTTCCTCTGCTGGAGTATTAACAATTAATGTCTGCATCTTCTTTTATCCTTGTTCTCTTTGGCCATTTGCCCTTGCAAGCAAAACCTCACATTAATCCCTGCCCCGGATTACAAGCGTGCGATCTGAGTATTTATTTCCCAATCTCCTCTGAGCACCCCTTCTTCCACTTTCGGGAGCCAAGCCAAACTGACCAACTGCCCCGATACCAATGCCGTCCCTAGGGTTGGTGTCACCCCCCTCATTGACCTCCTTGTCCTCCAATTTCACACCTTAAAGAATCCTTAGTAATATAACTATAACTATAACTATATATATTATATCTATCTACCTACCTACCTATCTATCTATAAAAACTATATAACTATATATAACTACATATATATATATATATATATATATATATATATATATATATATTATATTTGCATTAAAGATACTCATAAATCATAATTCCCATATACCACTGAATATAACGCTAATAGTTGTGACATAAACACCTAGCAAAATTAAAATTATACCCTCCAATTACAATTATCATACGCATAACCTAAATGTATTTTACACATACATAGTGAAGATTTGGTTAAAACGTAATGGCTTTAAAGAAAAATTTAAAAGAATAATTTAAAAAACCCAAACAATCAAATTTTGAAATTTGAAATTTTAATTTCAAAAAAATCCTGGGGACCCTCCTTTCTTCTCCCACTGAGGTTCGCCTCACTCCCACCATCTCTTAAAGCATTTTGAAGAGCTACAGGCAAATGCTGCAGTGTTTCTGCCAAAATACAGGTATTTGAGCAGAAGTGGTGTCACCTGGTGCGGTCTGCACCCCCTGCACCCCCCCGAGGGTCTGATCCTAAGGGTCGAATCTCTTCCGGCTGGTCACTCCAGAATTTGGGGCAGCAGCGGAAGACAAAGCCCTTTGGTTAACGGTCAGTGGCCTCAAGGCATCCCCACGCTCCGCCACAAGCTGTCCTTACCTCAAAGCAGAAGTCCTGCCCCAAGATGCTGCTGTGCACCGGCTTGATGACCACTTCCTCCTCCATGCTGAGGTCCAGGGCCTCCACCGCGCTACTGGGACTGAGCAGGGATTCGTGGGAGCGCGACTCCTTCAGCCTCGGCATTAGATGGGATCTGCGGGGAGAGAAGACAGGAGGAAGGGAGAGTCAGCCATTTGGGTACGGGGCTCCCAGCGCCCAGAAAAGGCAGGCAAGAAGTAAAGCCACTCACAGGGAGCAGCGCACCTCTCCAGATTGCACCAGTCCACGTCCCACCGAGGGCATAGCTCTAGAAGGCCCTTGGCAGCACAACTGGGCGAGGAATCACTTATACTGGTGTCACTGGACTGGTGCAACTGTATCATCTAAATTTGACTGACCAAGGAATACTTTCTCCTTCCAGCTTCTTTCGTACTTTTTGGACAGCAGTCTACACATGCTCAGAGTCACTCTCATCCATATGAATATTAAGAGCCCCTATCAGTTTGTTTTTCTATATTGATTTTCCACAGAAGTACCCAAAAGTGCTACCCAACACAACTTAAGATTGCTGTAAACAGCAACTTAACCAAACAAAACCAATAATTATACGATAATGTATTACCATATAAACCCACGCCAGAAAAATGAATGGAAATTTCAAACAATCCTATAAACAAAAAGAAAGCAAGATCAATAATGCAAATACGCAAGCAGCTGCAGCCAATGTTTACTTTTTAATTGTCTGATAAATTTAAGAATCATTCTTCCATCTGCCAGAACAAAATACAATAAAGCTGCAATCAGAATGAACTAAAAAATAAATGGCACCGACGGGGCCAGATTGACTCACAAGCGAAGGATTTTTAAGTACTTCTGCGCAGAAAATGCGGTTTCCTGCAACAAAATGTCCAAATTTTTGCTCATAAGTAGTTCTGAACTCCAAACAATTTTAGTTAATTACAGTTTTTAAAGTTTGGGTTTTTTTTAGTAGTAGTAGTAGTAGGAAGAACGCTGCGCAAATTGCTTGCTGCTTCCCTGAGAACAAAACTAGACAAAAGAAGAGCATCCTTGGTCTGTTGGGCAGGGAAGCCCTAACCCTCTCCTGTTTAGGACATCACTGCCACCATTTCCAAAGTGATTTCATAAATAATAATAATAATAATAATAATAATAATAATAATAATAATATAAAGAGTTTGTTTTCTGGGGCTTAGTGAGATAATTCAAACACAGCTTAGATCTGGAAGGTCACGGTCACCCACCATCCGCCAGGCCCTTTCTTTCCTTTCTGCCTGCCTCTGGGGAAAGGAAAACGCCTCCCTTTCCCAATTGTTATGGACAATGCTGGGAACCAGGAGCAGTCCAGCTGCAACAATGCAGCAGAGGAAAAATGGGCACCACCGAGGTTCCCGGGTCTGTTGGACAGAAAAAAATAACAGATATTTGTTATGGAGGACATACACGAGGACGCACCATGCAGATAAGAAGCCAAGCTCCACAGAGCTATGGGGTCCCCCCATCTCCACCTCCATCCAGGTGTGCATCTAATCCCTTTTCTTTAGGAGATGCAAGGGGCTCCCGTCACACTTAGTGGCAGTGAGTGCCACAGATTTATGTTCTAGAAAGTGGCGCTTCAAGATAGAAAGCCTCTCTTGAAGTTCTCCAGGGTTCTCGGGAGAAATGCCACGCTCCCTTCTCACAAGACCCCAAAAAAACCCCAGTAAGTTGCAGATGTCAGTCCTGTCTGCAAGGGGACATCCCTCTTCAATTTAGCATCCCTAGCTCCAGTTTCAAGAACTCCTGGAGACCGCTAACCAAAACCAGGTGCAACAGAGGCGCTTCGCTTCGGCAGGTGGACAGATGCTGAGAATTAAGAAACAGACGGCCCAGGAATTTCGGAGCAGTACCAGAACTAAACTCACGTTTTCCAAAAGGAAATTCCACTCCAGATTCTTTCATGCAACATTTTCTTTTTCAGTTGGAGCTGGAAAACCTTGGCGACCTACTGATAATCTCCCCAAGATGCCCCAGTCTATCTGGATCCAGTTTCTCTCCATTCCTGCTTTACATCAGAGACTCTTAATAAGGGTAATATAGTTGAACCTCCTTCAGATATACAAGTAAAGCAGTCCTGAAAAGGTGCCTATCCAACCTCTGTTTAAAGACCGCCATCACTTCGAGGCAGTCCGTTCCACTGCTAAACAGCAATTCTTGTCAAAAACCTTCTTCCTAATGTTTAGGTAGAACCTCTTTTCTTGTCATTTGAATCCAATGGTTCGTATTCTAGTTTCTGGAGCAGCTCACTCCATTTTCTACATGACATCCCTTCAGGAATTTAAATATGGTGACGATCCTATCACCTCTCCATCTTCTCTTCTCCGGGCCAAACATCCCCAGTTTCTGAAGCCGTTCCTCCTCAGGCTTGGTGGTTTCCAAAACTTTGGTCATCTTGGTCTAAACATGTTCTGGCTTGTCAAGAGAGAGTTTAAAAAGTGGAGGATGGACTCTAAGGAAAAGGTTTTCCAAAGGCTCTTAAGAGTCTAGATGCCCTTAGCCTTATAGTGCCATGATCCTCTTTCATCTCCTATGGGGCAACATCCTATGGGATCCTGAGATTTGTAATTTTGGAGGAATGAGCCTTCTCAGATGGAGAGCCTCACAAAACTACAAATTGAAGGATGGAAATGTCCATAAATCTCCTGCTGCAGAAGTCTGCCTTCCCCAGTGCTTCTAATATTTGATAGCTTTACTATACTCAGAAATTGAAGTTTTGTCTCTTTTGTAGGAAGCGCATACTTTTTTGTGCATTCTCTAATTTCCGTTTATGGACATTCATGGATTCAATTTAGGGACAAGATTTATGGGCATTTCCAGGATGCAGCCATGTCAATTAAAAAGGGGATTACGGTGCTACTATAACTGTGTGGTGTGAAAGAGGGGGATATTTCTGCACCGTCTCCATTGTTCCTAAAACCTGGAATTTAAAGCAGAAAGCTGAGCTAGAAGCATTCTTCTGCTACCTTCTTTGACCAGGCGGAGGGGGATTCTTCAAAACCATCCATCCCCTGAGGAGAGGTAAGAAGAGTCTGTTCTTTGGCTCTGCCCCTTGATTTTCCTACATGCTCAGATGGAGGAGCAGCATCTGGGAAGGGAAAGGCTTAGGAAGGAGAGGAAAAGCCACAACCTCAAGCCAGGGCTTGCAAGCGTGCAAAGATCAACAGAGCTGGCTGCTTTCCAGCCGCCTGAAGGTGACACGGAGGGCGCTTGTGGGTTTGGTTTGCTTCCCCCATGCCTTTGGGGCAAGGAATTTCTAGTGCACCAACCTGTTGGACAAGTCTGTGGCTTGGAAGCCCTTCTGCTGGAGACCAGGAGCGGAAGGCTCAACATGGGACGATGTGTATGTGACACGTGTATGTGTATGTGTGTGCACCTTCAGGTCATCTGTCTGATGGCAATCCCTCGCTTGAGTACAATTACTACTTTTGCAGCAATTGCAGTAAGCTAAGGGCAAAGGGGGCAAGTGGGAGGAGGAGGAAGAAACTGGGACATTTGAAAAGCAGCTGGGAAAGTGGGATGACAGGGGATTAATCCCTGCCAAATCGAGACAGTGGGAAAGTATGCAGTAGGAACCTGAACTCGTGTCTTCTGAGATCCACTCCAACGCTCTCCCCACCGCCCCACGCTGCAACAGCGTTCAGAGGAAGCAAGTCTCCATCTTCCCAAGCAACGGAGGTGTGTGCCTTCAAGCCATTTTCGGACTTACGGGGACCCTATCATGGAGTTTCCTTGGAATGATTTGCTCAGAGAAGGTTTGCCATGGCCTTCCTCTGAGGCCGAGAGTGTGTGACTGGCCCAAGGTCACCCATGGGTTTCATGGCCGAGCGGGGAATTGAACCCTGGTCTCCAGAGTTGTAGTCCAATGCTCAAACCACTGTGCCATGCTGGCTCTCATCTTCCCAAGACCAATGGCCCTTTCCTGCAGCTTTAACAGCAAGGAAAAGTGGCATTAAATGGTTATTTTTGTCTCTCTGCTTATTTCCCACACAGACCAAAAAAAAGCCCCAACTCCGTGGTTGATGCTTCAGGCTTCGGAGAATGCAGCTGAGATGCCAAAAAATTGGGGGAGGAAGGCGATTTACGAAAAACAAGAAAGCCATGTTGACTAGAGGACAGACAAAATAAAAGACGTAAGTGGGGTGCGGGGCATTTTCCCAGCGTCACCCCCCCCCCAAAGTCTCCAGCATCAATGCCAAAAAAAGAGGTCGGCCTTTTGGGAACAGCAGGAGACACCCTTTCAAAACCAAATATGCAAGTTGACACACACAC